AATCCAGATCTGATACTCCACTAAAAGCTAACTCCAAAGCTGCTTACAATCTACAAGTTTCCTGTCAGTAACAGGAAAATATCAATACATACATGCCTACAATAAATTGCATAGCAAAAAAACTGTGTATTGTATGTTTCAGCACCAAATAACTCCCATTTGAAAAACATCAGTAAACCACCACTGAACTCCTCCTACTTACCTTGATGTGTCACAATGAAAAGATGCTCATCATGGATTTTTTTCCCTTTCTTCTCACTCTCGAGTTCTTGAGCATTCAATATCTTGTTCAGCTTAAAAATAATAATAAAAAAGACTGTTCTATAAAACTCTTGATTCAGCTATGAGAAATGGTAGTCCTACTCTGTACAGCTAATATTTAAGGATAATATTTTTATATCCTATACCTATAGACCTCACATTCTAGGTTATATGAGAAGTTAGACTACATGGTCTCAGGTATGACTTTTACTTTTAAATTAAAAAAAAAAAATCATCTTTTCTAAAATAGAACATTTAGGTACATCAAGTAATAAAGTTTGGAAAACCATTTTAAGGGTATTTTTGATTATTAAAAAAAAACAAACAAACAAAAACCACAAAACAAACAAAAACAAACAAACAAACAAAAACCACAAACATCAAAACAAAAACCCAGCATGTTTTCCAGATCTTAGACATAAACTCTCATATTCAAAGAAAATGGAGTTCCTATACTAAAATTTTGTGTAAACATACAAGAATATCTGCATAAGAGCTCTGATTTGAGGCTCTGCTATGCATTTCAGTTCTGGCATTACTATTTTTTTTTTTTACTGAGTCAAATTTACAATCCAAATATAGTTGTCTAAAAGAAATCTTTGCAAGAATCCATAGAGTAGAACAAATGTCAACAACTTAGCTTACAAGCACAGAGTTATTTCTCTCACTTTCGGCTGTCACAAAAAAATTTTTTTTTTACTTATTTCTTAATTACTTCTAGTTTTTGCAGGTCTTAGTTGGGGTTTGTTTTTTTGTCCCACCTAGTAATCATCCTATCCCCTAGATTTCTGGAATATATTTTTTCAGCTAGATATTCTGGGCTTTCATGCAATAATTCGAGGAAATTACACAGAGCCTGCTGACATGGAGAAATTGCCTGATGGTGATTGTCAGACCAAAGAAAGCTTTTTGTGGTGCGCCACTTTATAGTTTAGGTTTACCAGTATGAATGACTCCCCACCAAACCCCTCAAAATACCCATCTTCCTCACAGTTTGAGAAGCCTTCCCACGGTCCATCTGCACCATTCCAGTTGAGACAGGCATTTGTGCCTGTTACTACGCATGGATAGCTCACGTAGATGAAGGGCACTTGGAGACCTGTCCTAGTGACTGGCTGACTGCTGGGAGAAGTGTCAGTCACGGGTCCTGCCTCAAGTCATAAGAGTAACCAGGACCACAAACAAGAAATCCTTAAACTTACTTGTAGGTATTCTCCATAAATAAGTCCACCTTTGCTGGCTCTATTTATTCCTTCTTGTGATTTATCTTCATTTTCATCTTCCAAAGATAGCTTGTTAAAATTAAATCTAAGAAGAAAATTAAGTAAATATGTAATGTCTTTTAATTAAAGAACTATGAATATACCTCCCTTTTTACTAACAGATGCATCCAAATTCAAACAATGCTTTATTTTGTGAAACAGAACAAGTAAAGCAGGCTTTTGAGAAAAGTAGTACACCCGAAATTCCTCATCACAGTAACAGCTCATAGCATTACATGAGCTTCTAGTTCATCAAATAACAAGTGCTCAGACAAGTCCTTGTATGATCTCTTTTCATTTAGCAAGAGCTACTACTCTCTATTTGCTGCTAATAAGCAATTTCTCTCTGAGCTTTCATATTTTGCATTAATGCTATATCATGAAGCATTTATGAAGCATTTGTTAAGCACAGAATTTATGAAGCAAAACACAGAGAGGAAGGACTCACAGGTAATTCTTCCCCGCGAAGGGGCAACCACTCATGATTCCAGGATCCAAACTCGCTGAGCTGCACACCAGGGAATATACTCTGCTGTATTCCCAAATCTGCTGCTGCTGCCTTATATGTAACCTTATCTCACTGCCTAGGCCAACCCCCAAATTCCCCTCCTTGGCCCACAGCCCATCCCCACTATTCAATAATTACAGAAACTATCACAGCACAAAGGTCAATAAGTTCATGTGTTGTTGGCTCTCCAGGGTTGTGGGGTTTTTTCAACCAGTTAAAAAAGGAATGGCTGGCATGCTTGTTTTGTCCTATGGCACATGCTTTTCACCACAAGGTCTCCACCAGTTGCTTCTTTGGAAATTGGTGTAACGGGTAAGTCAATGAGATGTCTGTGTGTGAGAAAAAGGCAATATTTAATAAATACAGGAATTGTTAAAGTAGGTTTTTAACTTGTATCAAGATACTTTTAAGTTTAAAAAATGAAACTTTTGGAGAAGGATTAGAGGGGAAGAGGAATCATATTCTTGTGGCAGATGCTTAGTTCTTATTCAAAGTGGTTTCAAGCAACACACATACTTTCAAAAAATGCACACAGATTAAGTAAAAACCAAAAAGCAATCCCGTATATCTCATGCTGGTTTTCTAGTGGTTTAATTCATAATAATTTTTTAATTTCATCTCCTCAAGCAAAAGTTTCGCTCTCGTTTATTGACAAATGTTACTCAATTCTATTTAATCATCTGCTTAACACACAATGAAGTAACATGTAACTAGTACACACTTCTTTCCTGCCTGCCAGCCCTTTCCGAAAAAAAAGGTTAATGCTCAGTTTCACTGCAAACAAAACTACAGGGCTTCTGTGACCCTAGATCATTTGCTTTCTGCAAGACTTGATCTGCTTAGTTGTGTCTGTGTGGTGGTTTCACCTGTTAAGAGTAGTTTGCTCATAAAAAAATTCATATACAGTGTGTGGGTGATGGGATGTATACCCTGCTCATCCAGGTGTCATTTGTCAGGCTTTATACCTGTTAGCTTCAAACTAAGCTGAGCCACAAGTATGACTTCACAGAGGCAACCCTCCAAGCAAGGTCAAGGTGTTCTTCCTTCATGATGTAAAACCTGACAGAGGAAAATAATCCTCTCCCCACACACATCTACACATCTGCTCAGCGATGCAGACAACTAGAGATGAAAGTGAAGACTTTGCACTTCAGCATGTATCAGAAATTAAATGTTGAAAACTGCTTTTCACATATTTGCCCTCAAACAGCTTGATTTACAAATGTAAAAATCTTGCACATCCATAGATCTCAAAGGTGTGGAAAAGGAATGTCTTGTGATATATATATATATCTTCACCTGAATTATCCAGACTGAGCCTGTGTAATGAAATCAAGCTTTCTGTTATCTTTTCTCATGACACAAGCAAAGAAACAGTGTGAAACCAGTAAATACGAGGACAGTTGAAAAATACTGAACCCTTAACCTCGCAAAAGATGTTAACATCTGTTTTCTTGTGCAGTTTATTTTCTTCTGTGGGGCACAGAGAATAATAAACTTCCAGAGCAATGATCTCTGACTTGCAACCTTTGCATTGCCTCCCCAGTAGATAAAGGACTTTGAAGTATTAGAGCCCTTTTACACTCTGTGCTTAACAAAACATTAACTCCCTATTTGAGAAGTAATACTATTGTTAATTCGTTCAGAGTTAGCAGACTAACCTGAAATCTAGCTGGGGATTCTATCTGACCAAGCAGTATACAAACTGCTCTTCTGATTCAGCAACAGACAAGCTTCAGACAATCAAATAAATCAGACAGGCTACAGCAATTGAGAAACTTATTTCCAGTGTTTCCAACATTTCCTTCTTTTGGGACATCACAGCTGATTGGTCCCAAAGCTCTAGACTGACCAATTCCTGGAAGGTGGGTAATATTATGGACAATATTATCCTTGCATCCATTTTTTTCAGAAAATTTAATCTCACGCTAGTTGAGTTCAGCTTTCTAACCATTCCAACTACAACAGATCTCTAACTGTCCAAGATCAGTGGAAAAAGAGGTCTTAATGAGGACTTGAAAACCCCTGAAATAAAAGCATAGACAATACAGAATTGTCATTCATTCATCTTCTTGGCTGCCTTCATCTGATCCCAGTAAGGCTTCAAAATGTGTAATGAACTTGGTAGTAAATTAATTTTTTTAAGTGACTTGTACTCCTGATTATGAAACTGTCTGTTGGTAGTGTAGATGATAGCACAGGTTACAAGCGACCTCAGGTTTGGATGAGCTCAGAGCCTTGAACTCTGGCATGGCTGCAGACACCCTTAGAAATAAATGTGCTTCCGTCATGCTGCTCAGATTTGAGGCTCACTGTAGGGACCTGATTTTTATTTGAGTGATTTGAGTGGCCTTTATGTCCTGACAGAGATTTTACAGTTACTTTGTCATCTCTTTCTACTAGCATGATCATAAACAAGTCTTGATGAAAAAACCTCTTTGATGTGAATATATCTGAAAGCAAAACATAACTTTAGTTTTAAATTATGGTATTGCTTTTTCCACAAAATGCACCATCAATTCCTTTTTCATGCTGAACAGTCAGAACTACAAAGCAGCAGATGTAACCACACACATAACTTGCTGTTCATGCAGTGGATGACAGAGCAAGGCTGTAAAAACCAAGAGTGTGTGTGCCCTTGAGCTTTTATTTAGTTCTTTGTTTATTTACTTTTAAAGCATGAAAGTCAGATAAAAAGACTTCTTTTCATCACAGAGGTCTCTAACCTTCAGTAGACAGTGAGAATGTTCTGTTTTGTGACTGAGCTGAACACAAGACAAACAGTTAAACACAGCAGAAAAAAACCCTCACAGCTTCTCAGAATTGCTCTTTGTGACCTTCAAATGAATTGTCATGGCCTTCGTGACCAAGCATGGGAATTGTCAAGCACTCTTTTCAATCCACCTTTGTCCCCTTTCTGTTCACCTCTGCTTCCCCAGGTGGATGTGGGGTGGCTGGGCTGGCTGCAATAGGGTTGCAGACCAGAGAAAAACTGAACTTGCTTGGATTGAGAGAAGTGATTCATATGGGCAAAAGGGGAGCCTCTCTCTAGCCTGGCCAAGGGGAGCTTTGATGTAAGGCATGATGCTGTAGCATGATTTGTAGACCCAGCTGGAGCCAAGCATCTGCATGTTCTTACTGCATGGGGCTATCTGTTTAAAACATTAGTCTGATGAGGACAGGTGAGTAAGAATCGTCATGTATAAATGTATGTATAAATTGTCATGAATCCAACTAGATTATGAATTAGAAGTGACTCATTCACCTTACCCAGGTCTCAAGTTCTCCTACGTGAAATCACTTATAGAGAAGAAAAAATGCACACCCAAATGATTTGGACAGTGTCACTCGTTCTACTGCTCAAGCTCTCATTCTGATTGCAAAATCATCACAGATCAATTTGTTTTCCTAAGGTTTGTTAACTTGAAGAAAGAGCTCAGAGAACTCCTGGCTGCAAACAAGTGACGTTTGAAGCTTCCCAACACTGCTGTCCCGTAATTGCAGACTAGGAGTTACCCAGCACACACGGCTTCTCCTGCGTAACAGTGGCTGCAGTGGGTCAAAGATCCAAGTAGGTTGTGCCATGCTGAAAGGTTTCTACTAGAAAGTAAGAGATGTCTTGGGAAGAGATATTAAAACAAAAGAAACAAACATTCTAAAATAAATTTTAAAAAAATTCAACAAACACCTACCCAACCAAACAAAAAACCCAAACAAACTTAAAAAGCAAGCATACAGTGAGATAATTTCCCCAGTATATTCATCTAACTTGCCAGTGTTGGTAGCATAGGACTTCCTAAGATATCTGTGTCCTTGCATTTAATAACCCTTCTGTGAATCCACAGCCTGCAGCAATGAGTTCCATAACTGAAGTTCATATCATGTGAAAGAATATTTCCCTGTGTTAGTTTAAAACTTCCTGCCAAATAATTGAGTAATTTTCATTTCCATTTGGTACTAAGTCACAGCTAATGAGAAGTAAGTGTACTAAACCTTTTTAGTCCCAGACACCCTGTTCTGCACTTGTGTAGGTTCTATTGTGACCTTTGTGAGATGAAGTCCTCAAATGGAAAATACCTTTTCTATGTATAGATGCTGCATTGTTGATTCCATAGAATTATAGTGATAAAAGAATTTGCGTCTTGGACAACAAACACAACTACAGTAGTGAAATGCAGTACAGCATCTACCAGTAGCTTTTGGTTGACAAGATACAACTCAAATTGCATAGATGAAGCCCCCAATAGCCTAAGCCAGAACTTCACTGTGCTGGCTGTTATGCAGACACTGAACAAAAATCTCTTCTTCAATTAATTTAATAATATAACAAGAGGAAAACAGATTAATAAAGACACATAAAAGGAAGGTGAAGGGGAGAAAACAAACTTGGCACCAAAACGTCCTCTACTGAAATGAGTGTTCTGTGATTTTAAAACTAGACTTGCTATTTAACTAGCATTTGAAATTAACAGCTGGTTTTAGGAAAACTAAAATTTAGTGACTCCAGGCTAAAACAAACAAGCTTAAAGTTGATGCAATATTAATAATCCAATCAGACATTTGTACCTGGGGGAGGAACAGAGTTCAAGGTCTTGCAAACTACAAACAAAGAGACAAGATAGTGCTGGAAAGATTTTTTTTTTTTAAATGTTGCATTTGCTCAAATTCTTAAACACAAATGACTGTGCCATCACTTCCCAGCATGCTTTTAACTTCCATTTGTGTTTCACACATTCCCCAGCACAACCTCACCCCTGCTGTCTCTCATTTGTGGCTCAGCAGAATCCAGCAGTATTTCTTTCACACTGCACAGTATCTGACTCTGTTAATGCTGGTAGCAAATCTCTCTGTCTGACCCAAGCTGTGCTTAAAAAAGACCTCTTCTAAGATTACCACTGGTTTGTCCTACACCTGTATTTTCTAAATATACAGCACTCATGCTGAGTGTGCTTTCACGGAGTGCCTGAGAGCTGTACTCCAACAGTGAAGCAGCCTGCTCTCTGAACAGTCCCAGAGGAACCATTTATCTTCCTCATGTTCTGACTGATAACTATTCCCCAAGTATGAAGAAAATGATCTTTCACTGCTATTGCCAAAACACCTTCCTTTCATCAGTGAAATGCATCAGTGTGAGCCAGCACTATAAGCTTAGGAAAAACATCACATCTTGAATACATGCCACAGAGCTGTCTGTGGCAAACCTGTCCTCTATCAGTGCCTTGCAGCCACACATTGCAGGGTGCAATCTTTTAGTACAGGATAGCCGTTGGGTCTCCCCTCCTAAAACCTGAATTCTGGTCACCATGAAGCCCAAACCTGTAGCCAAAAGCTACTCCCAATGCCTCCACATGGCTCAATTCGTGCTGCTGTTTACTCCATGGTACAGCTGGCTGGCAAGTGCAAAGGGCTGGTTCAGGACAAATGCTGATAAAAATTTGCTAATCTCATCCTATTCAGTATTATCATTAATGGCTAGGATGGTGGAATAGGTTGTACATTTCTCGAACTGACAAAAGAGAACAGCCTGGAAGGTGTAATAGCATGCTGGCTGATGGGAGCTAAAATTCATAATTACCTCAATGCATTGAAATTAATAATGTGCAGCTTCACTGATGCAAAGAGTAGTACTTTTGAACTTCAGCTGTGATAACCAAACTAGCAAGTAAGAAATTCTTTAGAAATTAGCTGAATGTTTCAGTTACTAAAACATAACATGTTAACCAACAAAAGGCAAAGCTGTGAAAAGAGCAAATTTTATACCAGCACTTTTAAATGGAAAGTTTCTACATTGCATGGAATCTCTCCTTTCCATCCAGCATCAGAAAGAATTTGTCTGTTATATAATATCCTGGGAATCACTCTTCAAGACAGATGAAGACCTCTTGGCAAGGGTTCAGAAGAGGATGGCAAGAACAATGAATGTTTGATGTAGAAAATACGGCCTGTTAAGAGAAATGGAAAGAATTGACATGTGTAACTAAGAGAAGATTGTGGGGGGAAAGTGATAAATACCTTTCTTTCAAAAGGAAGAGTAATAAGCAATTTTCAGCATACAAGGGGATGGGAAAAGGAGCAACCAGTTTAAATTATGACAAGATAATACAGACATGAGAAAACAATGATGAGAGCTCACAATTTCTTCAGTCATAGTTGATTCTTCCTTGATGCAGAAAGACTCAATGAGTCCTCAATCTCTTTTTGAGGTCCTTCTTCTGCAGACCCCTCCACCTCCCTGACCCCCATTGCTGAATGCAGTACATGCTTTGAAGGAAGGAGATAGATAGATGCTTGCATGTACAGTTAGTTACCAGCATTTGCCACAAAATGGCAATGACAATATATTATAACAACCCAGATGGTGATAATTTCAATTTTTTCCCTGTTTTCCCTTTTTTTTTTTGGTTAATATTGTTTGCATGAATTAAGTAAAAGTATTCTCAGCCTGCTGCATTACTTCTTCTGTCTTAAAAGTGGATATTTGAGATGTTTCTATCAAAAAAGAGAGCTAAGCAAAACATCAGAAGCATTAATGCTGAGAAAGCACTTACAGAGAGCCTCATGCAATGAAACAGGAGTTGGAAACAAACATTTCAACATTTTCTGAAAAAAAATTGTCCAATGAAAGCTTAATATACACCAAATACATACTTCTGTGTGTATGTATTTTCTCTCAGTAGCCAATAAGAATTCTTAAAAGACATTTTTCTGCAACTAGGCTATAAAATATTAATCTTATCAGGAACATTTTATCTATTTGTTTTAGGAAATAGCTATGTAGTTATGCTGCCTGCAGCATTATTTTTTAATTTAGCACCATAAGACAAGACCTGAACAGCACTGACTTCACATAACAGTTTGAGTACAGAATTCATGTTATGTGTGAATACAAAATTGGCAATCATCTCTGTCATCAGCTGGTTTTCCTAATCTTTAGTGCATTAAGTATTAGGGAATGTGTGGTTTAGATAACCAGATACATACTGCTAGGAGTGAGTGGACAGACCAAGCTGCTGTGACCAATTTACAGCCTGAAAGCTATTTGTGCAAGCCATTTGGGAAGGATTAGCAAACATAAGATTGTTGGTCTTCGCCCCCTAATGTTTGCTTAAGAATTAATGCAAAACAACCATAAAATAAAGAAAATTTTAACAATTAATTTCTTACGTAAAACACAACAGGACAACACAAGCCCTGTTCATCTAAAGTATTACATATGCAAAAAAACTCTTTGTAAAACAGTAACAGGTGTTGAGGTTTTTTTAAAAGAAAAACAATTAAAGGAATAATTTGCTATATAGAGAGCAACTAACATTTTATACTTCTTAATTCTATGCACATAGAGGTATAATAGATAGACATAGTTTGTTCTAAGAACTCAAGCAACTCAGGCTTGTGTTCTGTGAATTGGAGTGGTTTGTATTAATAGGACTCAATGGATCTGCAGCGCTTGGCAACTGCTCAGCAGAGCATTAGTTGTGGTTGAGTTACATATAGATGTTGAAAAACAGTTTACTGTTAAGCACTTCACTGCTTGAGTGAGCACAAGTACAGTGCAAATCTTTCCCTGGCAACAGTGACAGACAGAGTTGGGAATTCCAAAAAGCTGAATACAGAAATCTTGTCACACAGGAATAACTAAATGGAGTTTGGTGCTTTACCTTGTTTCTTACAGCGTTAATAACACAGCCAGAAAACAGTCAGCAAACAACTAGGCAGTGGGGCACCAACCTAATACACCTGAAAACCCAAGAATGGTGTAGGTGATCAACTGGACTATTACTAACAGAGAGAATGAAACAAGCAGATCAGAGAGGGAATGTGAAGTGGCTTTTTTTCCTTATTTCATAAAACATTAATCAAGCACATCCTATGTCTGAATTTTCTAGTATTTTTATTCTCTTTTACTAGATATTCAGTTCTTTTCTTGAAACAAATTTCAAACAAGATCATATTGCACATATAGCACAAAAGCAGTCTCTCTCCTTTTTCATAGGGAGTTGCTGGAATGATTGACTTTGCATGTATTTTCATCCTCACCCACAGGGTTAGTTCTCAGGAATAACAGCTTTTTTGCTAAGTCCACAAGAACATGAAATCTGTAGCTGGTTATGAAGACAGCTATTCAAAGTGTGGTTGAATTGCACCCTGCTGCTGTGGGAACCTAGTGGTAGGCATTTATTGCTCCCAGAGCAGGAAGGGCTCTACTTCAAGAGAAGCTATTCAGTTCTGATCAGCACAGCACCTCAGTGAACATATTTGGTCTTTCTAAAACAAAAGGGAAAAATATGAAAGAAATTTGCAAAGTGATGCAAATACACACGACAAGCCTGCACTTGTTCTAATATTAGCATAATATGTATTTGAAATGTATGCAAATGTGTACATCTGATTCTGTAATAAAAATAATGTTCTCTTTACATTGCAGACCATGTCAGTGAAAGGTAAAACATAGCAACCCAGGCTGGTAAATTGCCCAGTCTTATGTGTCATCAAGTATCACCTCCCATTTAGTTTTCTATAAAAGCCATTACCTACCAATGATCACAATGATAAGACAGCTTGTTATCCATTCCTTCCTTACTGAAATAAGCACGGCCTCATGGACCAGCTTGGGAGATTTATTCAATCAGATGTTAAAGGTAAGTGACTAGGCATATTAGAGCACTTAGTAAGACCTTTGCTATTTATAATTTTGTCCAAAAGCAGCAGTGGTGTACCTTTTCAATATATGAAGAAAAAGGGAGAGATGAAAAAAGCTTGCAGGAAATTATTTGTACACTTACTTAAGAAGGACAAAAAAATCTTAAGCTATTGGTCCTTTATGCATTTAGAATAAAACTAATACAGTTTTATCTATTCCACTGCTTCTCTTAATGATACCACACTAGAATGATTTTTAGATCAAGACAAAGAGGAAATCAGATATCTATCTAGATTGATTAACCCTTGCACAGAGGCCACATACAACCTTCCTGAAATAACTCTTCCCAGGTAAGAGCTCTGGCTGAAGATAAGTGACCTTTTAAAAAGCCATTCTTTTTTAATATATTAATTAATGAAAACACAATCACAATTAAATATTGAGAATACAAAAATAAAATTGTTGTATCTTATTTCTGCTAGAACTTAGCTTCCAGTTCTTCCTACTCAGTCCTGTCACATCTTTTTCCCCACTAGATCAAAGCGCCTATTCCTATTATCTATCCATGACCTGTACAAGTAGTTATAGATGGTGACCAGTTGCCTGCTGACTGAAGTTTAAAAAAAATTTTAAATCCAATCTACAGCTTTAAAATTAAAGATACTGTGAATTTCTGAGGGGTGAATTTCTCTATACCCATATAACTATGTGAATTTCTATTTCTATTTGAATTTCTATAAGCCCATAATAGTATGTCCCTTTATCTCTGGTTACACATGTAGGGAAGTAATTTTTTCTTTAACAACATTGACTGGAAAATCAAGTTTTTTGACTAACCATGTTGGTTCTCAGGGCTTTGCATGTAATCAGGGTTTCCTGAGGCAAAGCACCTGCAGCCCATCCTGAACTACCTTACTAGTTCTTACATTCGTATTTGGCTCCAGACTTGTTGTTGACTCCTGGACCTGGATTCCTCTGTTCCTCTCATTTAGTTACCTCCTTGCTTTTTTACTTATCCATACCCTTTGAATCTTCTATAAATATTGGGTTTATCCATATATTTGACAATTATTTTTGCAGTACCTATATTAAATATACTTTCTATTGTTACTAAAAGAGCCTTATTGTCTATGTGTCTAAGGTCCTGCATGACTTCACTGTCTATCTAGCAGCAGCTTGGGTACTCTGACCCATTTACAGCTAGTTCAGCTGTGTTAGTTACACAACCTTAGTCCAGACACACACTGCCTAAGTGTTGCACAGCATAAGATGTGACAACCCATCCTTTAGGGGAAGAAAAGGTTAATCATTTATAATCTCACACCCATCCATTATTGTGGTGTATTATTTTACTATTCACTAACAGACTCCTGCAATAACCATTCTATTATTAATTATATGTCACTGGAATGTACCTATTCCTCATAAATGGACAAAATCCCAAATAAATGGCTAGTCCCAACTTACACATTGATACCATTTTCCAATCCATCCCTATGTAGAAATTTCACACCAGAAGTCGACCATTTGACCCTACTTGGAGTAGTTAAAAATAATTTTTCTTTACTTATTTTTTTTTAAATTATAGCATTTTATAAAGAAATCTGAAAGTAGAATAAGGATTCTTTATGACACACAGCAGTGCTAATTCCTATTGTGAGACAGTAATGAAAGCAGCAGTATGCTATCAGATAATCTTACACATTAAAAAGCAAAACTTTTGCAATCAGCTAAACATCATTTCTACTTGCTACTACTTACCATAGTAGCTACGCACAAGAGCTGAAATACAGTTTAGTTACATATTTGCATAGACTCAAAGGTACACTTCTGCTGATTAAGCTAACTAGTATTTTTTTGATGGCAATGGACTTTTATGTAGGGATATTGTATCATGTTCTTACCTAGCACAGTGCATATAAGAGCAATAAACACAACACTATTCCTGGAGAAAAGGGTCTGACTTACCTGTGGTTTCTTGTTGGAGTCTATAGGCAGCAGATGCAGATACATGTTAGGAATGTACTTCCCTCTGCTCTTATTCAGCGAATTCGCAAAGCGCTCCTCCCATTGCACACATGATGGTGAGAGAGAAGCCTACAGCAAAACCAGAAATCCACTCCATTCCAGCCCGATGTACAAATCCACACATGGCTGAATGGATTTGCAATAGGGTCCAATAGTCACTAGAGCTAGGAGAGAAACTTTTGAACAGTTTTCTAGCAGAAAACTGTTTGACGATGAAACTGGGTCACAGTAAATTATGTGATAATGATCAAAGTTCTTACACAGATCTTAAAAGAACAACATGAAGAAAATACTTTGCCTCCAGAAACATTTTGAAATCCAGCACTGTCTGGGATTTCATTATCATAGTCTAGAAACTGTGGACCAAAGCAACACCTCTGAATACTGATGTGGTCACGATGTGGCTGATGTGGCTTTGGCAGATGACTCCTACATCCCTTTGCTCCTTTGCTCAGCTGTAATATCCTCAAGTACGTAAGTCTTATAAAGGGTATGTTCTCTTCCTACCAAACACACATTATTAAACCTCATTTTTTGTTAAAAACAGAATTAGGGAAGCATTTAATTGCTGTTAAATGCTGATCTAAATAATATATTTTCAGATGCTATTTATTATTGTCTCACAAACTTTCTTTGATTTACTGTTCTTATGGACAATGTCAAAACAAAGTAGTGGATAACAACCTGTAAATGAAGCCCTTTGCAAAGAGACTGGTCCAATTATGGTAAGACACAAGAAAGGTCTCATTAATTTTCCCTCATTTGAATGTTTTGGGAGAGAAAATGAAGTTTAAATTCATTGTACAAAAGATTATTCAGCATCCAGCATAAGAAAATTACGGTAGTTTCAGATATTAATTATATTAATTATTTTCATAGCTTTTAAACTTAGATTTAAAAACAGTTTGGTTTGGGGGATTTTTTTAACATCAGCTTGTAGAGAATTGGGAGTAAATCAAAACTAAACCCATTCCCGTTTCAAAGTTAAGGAATCAGACAAGTATGAACCTAAGAAAATTAGGTTAGTTATTCTTTAGAACCTGTACCCTTCCAAGACTTATCCTAAAACTTTTAATAGTGAAAGAGTGAATTCTCTTTCATATCATTCCATTTAATTCTTTTTTTTACCTTATTTCTCAGATCATGTGTGAAGGACCAGTCCTTTAATGTGTTGTTACTGTAAAAGTCAGATGCTTAATTTTCACAGTAAGTTCACAGCAACCCATGGATTTAAATCACTGAGGTATGCCAAAATACATCCTTTTTCCAAGAAATGGAACTACTCTTTTATGTTAACGTGCTTAAACATTTGTGTGCTTGAAATATTGCAAGATACAGTCTGTATGCAGGGCAGGACTGAGCTCATCTCTTACCACACAACTCTTCCATCCTCACAAGCAAGTTCACTACTTAAAGAGAGAACTCACAATTAAAGGAAAATTTTACAACTGCTTTTCCTTACTTAAATGATGGCTAAATGCTAACTTTAAAAAAGTGTTTTCACTTTGTTCCATATTCAGGAATACTGGAAAAGACACGGTTGTGTTTAATAAAGAAGCTGCTGCCACATTTGGAAGACAGAAGGAAGTATCATGACGAGTTTGTCTCATCCACTTCTTTTCATGGCGTGCATAAGATTATTCAAACACGGAGCAAGACTCGCAAAGTGCTGTGGCTGCTTGTGCTTGCAGGCTGTCTTGCTGTTGTTATTTGGCAAATCTGCAGCCGCTTCATCTACTACTTCAGCTGGCCAACCACAACCACAGTGGTGGTTCAGTATGTGGAAAACATCCAATTTCCTGCTGTGACTTTTTGCAACTTAAACAGGTAAAAGCTGTGTTTGTTGTTTGCTCTTGAGAGGTAACACATCTTTTATCTGAGAGCAGTCAGACTCCACAACTCACTTGTACAAATCACATAAAATAAGGAAAATATGGGTCTGAGGGACGTCTTCCATACCAACACAAGAGATTTAAATGAAAATGAAAATACGAGAGTCGATTAAGGAAGATTATTTTTATAATCTTCCCCTTTCTTCAGATGAACAACTGAATGATAGATTTTTAAGTTTCAAGCCAGAAACTGGAGTAGAAAATTCCCTCTGGTGGGGGTGTTCTGTGTATGAGTATTACTTCTACAGTGTAACTAAGGGACAATCATCAGCCACATCCAAGTTAAAAATAAGAGACAAGATTTGTAAATAACTTTAAATAGAAATGTCATACAAAGGTAGAAATCTTGGGTAAAACAGATACTTTTTTTTCAGAGTTGCTCAGCCTTTAGAGTTCCAGCTGATGTCTGTGTTTTTGCAGTGAGAGAAGCATTTGGTTTGTTTGAAAGTCATGTATCTAAGCAGGAGCTTCACTACAGATTTCTACACTTGAAGGCAGGGGCCAAGACTGAGATGCAGCCACTTTGAAAATAACATAGTAAACCTAAAGCCTGATTTTTAGAGCTCATATGTAGTTCAGTAACAGTTTTATAAAAGTTTAGAAAGTTAGAAAGTTTACCCACATTTTTTCCTCAAAGTCTGTAAGTTTTCTTATATTCTACCTTTTGCTGGTAGAATCAGCTGAAAGTCAAAGTCTGAAATGCCTGGAGCTGTTCTGCCTCACTATGCCACCTTCTCATTGCCCTGCATGAAGCAATCCTTGGTTATAACTGCACAACATGCACTGCAGGTAGAAGTCCCTCTGATTGCAGTGTGCTGGCTGTTACAAAAGTGCCTCAGTTCTTGTAATTATAGTGGCAGCACACTGTAAACTGAGTATGGCAATTTTCCATCTAAGCAACAGTTTGCTGCCATATCCATCTGCCATTCATGCTGTGTTTATCCTTCCCTCCCGTTTTCAGTAACCAGATTATTTGTTAGCAGGAGAAAGAGGCACCGGACTCTCTCTGTCTATATTTTTTGACTCAAATCTAGTTGTGAAGAGTTGTTCCTACTAATCTTCCCTAAGCTGGAGCGTTAAGATCCCTTATACAAACATACTGATACATTTTTTAAAATAAGATTAGATAAAATGTCAGTTCTAAAGAACATGGCATTGTAGCCTCATTTGTGTTCATTCTATTTTCAAAGTTATAACTTCTCTAAACCCTTAATTTACTTAATAAAGAACTTCAGTTCTGTACATCAGGAAAGCACCTCCAATGTCTCATCATGTTTTTGAGATTTTTCACGTGGATTCAAGGAGTAAGGATCACCCTTAGTTTATACCACTGTGTCACCAGGCACAGAGCTCATGGGAAGGTAGACTGTCTCTACACAGGCATGTAGTGCCTTAGTAAAGCAGGAACAGGAGATTACTGCAGATGCACTTAGAATTCACTTTTCCAAATGAAGGAAGACAGTCTTCTTTGAAAAGAACAGCTCCTCCCAGCTAGTTTCCCACATGTCAATATAATTGTTCAGCTTGTCATCACTTCTACAGATGTGGTTGTTAGCTCACGCAAATGGTTAACCTATTTAGAGGAGTTGGGTTTTATTTTTTTTTTTAATAAACAACAGAAATGTTTCCAACATGACTGATCAGAATCGCCATGGGAAGGTGTCCATTTTCTGTTTCCAGATATGGAAGATACATTCCTAGAGATGGAGACTTATTCATGTTGTAGAGATCAAAGTGCAACCTGGTGGGCAAGAATCACTTATAGTTTGCAAGCAAACAAATCTCACCGTGGTTTTGTTAAGAGCAACCTTGAGATCAGTCCTGTAACTCTGCAGAACTCCCAGCAATTCTTTCTCCTTCTCACTGACAGGTTTCAAGCTCATGCAGTAAGCAACCTCAAAATAATTTTTTTAATTTGGAACATCGTGTCTGCGATTCTCCAAAAATTTTCTACAGAAGATAAATATTATCAAGAGTTAAATGATTTCCTTGCTGGGAACCAGAACTTCAGCATCAAGGAGTTTACAAGAAAAAATGGGTTTTATCTGAACAGCAGCACATTGCTAGAATGTGATTTTTTTGGAAAGCCATGTTACCCAGAGGTAAATATATTTGTTTTACTAAAACAGTAGCATGGAGGGGAAAGGGATGTATTCTTACAGTCAGCTTGAGATATCTAGCTTTGCCAGCTACTCCCCCTGTGTTCCCTTTACAGTCAGACAATGCAGTAAAAAAAAGTCCTGCTCTAAATTACCTGAGGGCCTTGATTCTTGCACTGACTGCCGAGGCAGCCTGATGGACTCCCTGAGCTGTAAAAGGGAATTTCAGTTCAAATTGCTCGCTGCCCAGTGCCACTTCTGCACAGACAGCAGCCTTTGAAAGCCACCGTGCCTCCAGGCTATAACTAACAGCCTTTTCTATCAATGGCCTATAATGAAGGACAGTTTGAACAGAGTATTTTGCATGACATGACTCTGTAGTTTTGTTTTTTAGGTCAAGAATGTAGACAGCCAAGGTAACTATATGCAGAGTCCACAAGAATTTTAAATATTCACATGAAAGCAGCCCAACGTTGGGAATTTTGGACAACTGCCCATCCCATTTTATTGTTGATTCTTCTATAAAGCAATTCCCAACTTAAATAGAAAATGTGAAAAGTCAGGCCTTTATTCTCTCAATTTAATCTAACCTTTAGATATGCTGTAGCTTTTAAAATTTAACATTGGAGACTTGTCTTAACTGAAAAACTCCAGTGCTAGTAACTAATACTAAAGCAATGAGATGCATTCATATTAAATTATGAGGTGGTTTGGGGAAAAATGCAAATATTGTACTTTCATATGTAACGTGACATTCAGTTTTGAAACAATCTTCACTAAAGAACTAATGAAAAAAATTAAACAGGTTGTTTTTTAGTATATGATTTCTATCTAATGTAACAGGTATTGAGAAACCACAAAACCTCATTAAATTATTCTGAGCAGCTCATATGTATTAATAAACAATGTGAAATTTCTCCTTTGAACTTCATTTTCTATAGCAAGAGGTGAAATGCTTTTGAATAGTTCCATCAATTACCACATTTCTGATTGCAATACTGAGGACTGCCTTTTGGGAAAAAATATCAAAAAACCCCAACAACCCCAGTAGTCCCTCTCTTGCATTGTAACTCACTAGGGAAACTTTGAGTGTTCTTTCTTTCATTTCACTCTTCCCTATTTTCCTTTATTGAAGGATTTTGAACATGTTTTCACTGAATATGGAAACTGCTTTACTTTTAATCACAATGATCTTTCAGCAAGAAGAGTGAGTTTGTCTGGAAGAGGCTTACATTTGCTTTTTGATGTCCAACAGGTACAGCTATCCTAAGGATTATAAATAACAAATCATGTCATAACTTACAAACTAGAGGAGGGTTTTGTTTGTTTGTTTGTTCATTTGGGGTTTGGTTTTGGGTTTTGGTTTGGTTGGTTTTATACAGACCTCCAGAATTTCATGCACTAAATTCTATATCAAGACTATTTCCAAGTGAGAGGGTATTTTAAAGGAAAGGCCCAAATACAGATTCAAAAGTCAGAATTATTATGTACTCTGTCCCTAGCTAAGGGGTTCTGAAAGTTGTGAGTGAGCATATATATGCAAAATTCATCTACAACTGAAACATGCAGTGATTTAATTTTATACAAGCAGTTTAGGATAATATGACTTAATTTTATATAATAGCCCAATAGGGAAGGTCATATGATGCCAGTGTCTAAGTAGCACTGAACTTTAGTTGCAGCAGCAGCTGTAAGTGCTCAGTGCCAGCCAAGACCTGGTCTTTGCACTGTAATTAGTTTCTGACATTAGAATTGTCTTTGATCAACAAAAAGCAAAAAACAGGGAATATCACCTTGTGAGATATGGGAAGAAATCTAAAATATGAACTGATAAATGACTTAGCCACTCACTTTTGAAGTAAGAGTCAGGAGTGAAAGGTTCTGAAGAGAACAGTGGAAAGTGTGCTGAAATATGGCAGGTAGTTGCAAATAAAGGGAACAAATATCCAAGATATGAGTAAATGCTCATCTATGCCTTCTAGTTTTTGAAATTAAGGGATGCCAAAAGGAATAAAAAACTTGAAATTTTATAGTTACTGGAAAGAAACCCACAGAGGTAATGAACAAAGGAAATTCAAGTCAGTTCGCTTCTATACTTTCCTGTAAATTGCCAAAAATGTGACTAGAGATACAAAAGGTCATAGTTTAGTACCACATTAAGTATAGCTAAAGCTTCAGACGGTAAGCAAAGCCAGAACTACTTTAAATAATTCTTTTTGCATCAGGACCAATTCACTGATGAACCTGCTCTTGGTTTTACTGATGCTGGAATAACTTTTGTTATCCATTCACCCCAAGAGCTTCCACGCTTTGATGGCTTAGGTTTATTAACACCAGTCGGCACGCACGCACAGGTCACGATTCGCCAGCTGAAGGTAAGGACTTTGTTCATCACCTGGAAATAGTGGTCTTTACTCTCTCCAATTCTCTCCTGAACCAATGACAATGACTTAGACATTTTGGAATGTAAAATATTTATCATTCCTTTTCTCCAGACAAAACCAGATTATTGCTCTTTTGGGGAGGATGTCACTGGTCTTCCTAATTTGTCTCTACCCAAGTCAGCCTTTCTTTCCTATTACTTTACAGTCTCACTGACTTTTAATGACTGCAAGGACATCACAGCATTTTCCCATCAACATGTCCTGTTCCCATTAAAGGTGTCTCAGATTCCTGGTGGAATCCAAGTGGACTGGACTACCGCTTTGCACTGGGCTGTCAGATCAAGCCCTACTTTTGCTGTGAGAGAGAGGAGATGATTTTTTTTTTAATCCCAAACGCACAAACTATAATTGCCTCCAATTAAATCACAATGTTACTGCTTATTTCTTCAACAGGTTTTCTTCAGCACTTTAAAATGTGAGAAAACAGTATCTAAATTTAAAATAGAGACCCAACAAAACATTTAATCTTTTGTTATTATTACCCTACAGTCAATTATCCAAGAATACCCATGGGGAGAGTGCAAGCCTGATATAAAGCTTCAGTACCACAAGATTTATAGCACTAATGGATGTTTGCTGGAATGCAAAGCCCGGTATATACAGGACTGGTGTGGCTGTTTGCCATTCATTCTTCCAGGTATTTCTCAGGAGTATCATCATACCAGACACAAATCATCTTCCTAGGAGACCTCACATGTTCTTGAACAGCAAAGGAGACAGAGCACATGTTGGGGGATACCTACAGCTGGGACTAATTAAAATTCCAAGAAAAGATACTTGGTCAACTCTAGACCTAGCATATGGGTCATTGTCTATTCTTAGGATATAGTCCAAACAATGGGAAGAAAAGATTATGCCTCAGGAGTGTAAGACAAGTCTATAGTCTTCAGTCTGACTTCCCAAAGAGCTGGAACTATATCCATAAGAAGTCATATATTTTCACATGTAGCCCAGAAAACTTATTTTGCAGGTGTTTAGCAATCACATCAGAACTGCTTGCTTGAAGACTGAATCTGAGGTCCTACACATGAACATGGAAATAGCCTGGCACCAGAACAGGGCTCTACAAAAGCCAAAAGGCTGTGTGGAGCTTTCTAATTAACCTCAAATGCAAGGTGTATGCTGTAATACTCCTCTCAAGAATACAGGCACCTCAGTCTCTCCAGAGATGTAAAGCAGTAACACTGAGCACACCTTTTTAGCATTAAATGTAATCATAATATTATCATCCCTCTTTAGAAATCTCTGCTCTTGCAGATATTTTGTCACAACTAGTGGAAAAGAAAGCCTAGTGGAAAAGTTCATAAGAAAAGCCACAAGGAAGCCTGAACTTTCTGACTCAATGTATTTTTTAAATATGCTTAAGCAAGGTAGAATGCTTTTACTAAAGTAGACCCATTAATGTGTGATCTTTAGCCTGCCTGTTTGAGAACCTCTTGGAAAATGGTTGGCAGTCTTCTGGAAAATGTCACAGAAAGGAGTTTGAGAAGGCAATTATGCCTGGGGCTCCCATAGCCAGCTGTACATAATGACAGTTAGATAAAGGAGAGTAGTGCTCTGTGCTAAAAGTCTACATAACATTTTCATGTGAGGGAAAAAATCGTGGTGAACCTGAGGACATCTGAAATCTGAAAATTTTGCTATTAGCTCAGGGTACTACCTTACCCCTTACATCTCCAAACAACTCTTAAATGAAGTTCAAAACTTCTGCAGAAACACATGGGATGCAATCATATATCAAATCTATCTCACTTGTTTGGTTTTTTGTTGTTTGGGGTTTTTTTTAAATTTGCACTAGGAAAATCAGAAATTCCTGTCTTTAGCAAGCTAACACAAACAGTGAACCACAAGCTTAAAGGCAGTTCTGGCTGGTACATATAATGAAGATGCTTGCTCCAACAGCAGCCTCCTGGCTTGGTCTGTTGTCTCTTTTCACTGTGTACCCATTCTAGTGTTGGCAACTGCACTGTGCCCAGCCAAATTGATATCTCAGTTGTATAATCACTAACAAGAAGTGATGAACAGGCTTCGATGACATTACATTTCAGTTTAGTACAATTAGAGTTAAGGGTTAGATTGTTAATTTAGCTTCCTAAAGCTTCTTATTTATTTTTAGGAAATGGAACAGAATGTGACTTGCTGAAGTTTTACAAATGCGTTTATCCAGCAGTCTGTAAGTAATAACTTTATATTCATATTTTCTAAGCCAATTCTAAATAGTAGACAACACCTATCGATTTAAAAAAAATACTGAAAGTAATCTGAAATGGAGTACATCCTAGCTCATTTCCTATTTTGAAAATAGAGACCAGACAGAGCATGATATATATGCTCATTAAAAAAACAAAACCAAAACCAAACAAAACCCCAAACCTAAACAAAACAAAAACCCAAACAAAAATCACCAAAAAAAAACCACAAACAAAAAACCCCACACTCCCAAAAATAACACCCCTCTCCCAAACAAACAAATAAAAGAATTCCTTTTCAGCAATCAGAAATGGTTTAAAATGGAAGAACATTTAATTAGTCTGTTTTCAGTTACCAAGCCTCTGGCTGGCATTTTAGCATCTTAATGATGAACCTTCTAGATCCAATGTTGTATTCTTTGTGCAAGGAAAGTGAACAGCACAGTAATAAAAGGTTTGCTAACTGATAAAAGTATAAATTACTGGACTTGAAGGTTTTATATTTTCAAAAGTAAAATGAAGCATAAATTTTCAAAGCTCTTCAAATGTAATTATTTGTCCATAAACGAATGATCTGTACATAGTAGATATAAGATCTGTAAGTCACTACAACAGATATTCTGGAAAATAGTGAAATGTTAACCTGACAACTTCTCATGAACTTGAGAAAACTTTCTTTTTAATTATTTTGTTTTCTGCTGTGTAACGTGATTCTCTCTTCCCAAAGAAATGAGTGATTACTAGACTAACAAGCTGGAGGTGGAAGGGGAACTGTGTAGGGGGTTATTTCTATTTTGATTAGGTGTGTGCAGCATTCAGGCAAGATGTACTACCAGTGAACAATGATCATTTTTTTCCCATGGTTCTTTTAAAATAGATTCCACTAAGTTTGCTCTCTTAGATAACCATGATCTTTGAAAGCCTATCATGATGGAAAGATGTTTATTATTTTACTTAATGGATATTTGATGACTGAATTTCAAAGAAACCACAGAGTAATAAATAAAAATGACCCCAAAGTCCTATCAAGGATGGATAGGATTCAGTCTGGACCCCAGAAGGAACTGGCATCAAAGTACTGTACGTGGTGAACCTGGTTTGTAGGTGTATGGTCCCCAGGATCCCATTTCAAGGGCTGACTCTCCCTTGACAGGTGGAAAAGTAAGACATCTGATAACAAAACCTAAAGTGACAGCACACTGATCCAGTATCTGTGGGACCTACTACCACTTTCATGAGCAGCCAGACCTGCAGAATTGTATTATTTCTTTTTGGTATTTGAAGAAACAAAGATTTCCCTAAGACTTCCCAGCTGTCTTGAGCCCAACTATCAAATGGCAGGCAGGAGTCAAGGTAAAGTGAACTTAGCTTACCACGGTTTTTATATAGTTATCAGATGATAGTAAACTACAACTGGAATTGCTTTGGAAGCTCGTTTCTGTGCACTGAAGTGAGCTGGGCAGACATCAAGGCATCAAGATGAAGGATATATTCCTAACTATGTATTTAGAAAGCTAGCACAAAGCATGGAAATGCTTCTGTTGTCCTATTGTTTAACTGAGGATGAGAAATAATAAGCACACAAAGCCCTAAAAAAGGCAGAAAGATTTAGAGGTGCTACATTTCTTTGGAAAAAGTGAGCAAAATATCCCAACCCTTATTATTGTGCATCAGTTTCCCAAATGACAGTTATAAATACATATTTGTTTCTTCAAAACTGACAAGTATCCACTTTTCTCAGAATAATTAACCCATACATTTATCCAAGTCAGTTAAAAGTCATTAATAAGTTTTTTCAAAATGTTTTTAAACTGTGTGCTTTTTTAGAAATATTGTATACAATTTTTCTCCTGACATTTCAGATGATATAGAGATAAAAGGATTATGTACAGTAGGAACACACAATTCCACTTGCCCTGCCCCATGTGAAGAAACACATTATCCCCCCACTGTCACCTATTCAAGTTTTGGAGGAGAAAAAGCCATCAACTATTTTTCTGAGAAACTGAAGAAAAGCCCAGAATACATCAGGTAATCTTGCTTAACACCTTGTCTAATAAAGAAATGATCAATTCTTTTTAAATGTTCTAACAGAGAATATGATGCAAATATGAACATAAGATATATTCTTATGTGTGCTATTAATAACGTCTGTGAGATAATATAATCTCTTAGACAAAACTACATAAGATTTACACATGCTCACATTTATATACAATATACTTAGATACATCTAAGACTGTGGATAAGAAAGATAGGGTCTACTTGTCAAAGAGCATTTAACACAGTTTCATAGACTGGACTGCCTCTTGCTCACAGCTGTAGATGTCAGCAGTACAAGTAAGTATTAAGGCAGGTGCTACATAACTCACAGTAAAAAGAAAATATATTAAAAAAATAATAACAAAAGTATACTTATTGTACAAACACCAAATTATGTTTTTAAAAAACTGCAGAAAATTTGGTTAATGAAATATTTATCAGTTTCACTGTCTCAGTGACTCCAGTTTTCTCACTTTTGAAGCCATCAGTCTCCAAATGCTTGCATATGTTTATACATGATCAGGAACTACACAAATCATAGAATAGTTTGTATTGGATGGGACCTTTAATGGTCAAGTAGTCCAAGCCCCCGCTGCAATGACCAGGGACATCTTCAACTATATCAGACTGCTCAAAGCTATGTCCAACATGATCTTGAATGTTTCCAAGGATGGGGCATTTAGCACCTCTCTGGGCACCCTTTTCCAATGTTTCACCACCCTCACTGTAAAATATGTCATTCTCATACCTAGTCTGAATCTATCCTATTTTAGTTTAAAACCATTACCTCTTGTCTCTCAGGCTCTACTAAAAAGTCTGTTCCCAATGAAGATTATGAAAATTGAACCTGTTGTTATATGCAAAGGATATTAATCCTTTGAGGACATTTTATCTTTGTTGATTATTTTATTGTCTGTAAACACCATAAGTAATCCAGTAATTATTCAATTAAGCAAGTGAACATACAGGACATTCCCCTGTTACCAAGCTTTAACCAACAGGAATCCAGCCCATGCATTAATGAGTACATATTCCAAACTATAAAACATGGAGATCTATTTATTTCTGAAGATGTAAGAAGGGAAAAGTTAAATATTTATTGGATAGTTCTGCTAGCAACTCTGTGACAATGATAGGAGTCTAACTAATAGAAACTATGAGAGTAAGATTATTTTTACTAATCAGTGCTACCTGAGTTTTAGAATTATCATCCAAAGAGATAGAAATGATTATTTTGTATAGAAAGTACTTTATTTTCATGAGTATTGTTAATGAGCTCATAATCACTGTCCACCCAAGAATCTGTAGCTGTTCACATTTCTGAAAAATCATAAAATGGTTTGGGTTGGTAGGGACTTTAAAGATCATCTCGTTCCATAGGCAGGGATACCACCCACTAGATCAGGTTGCTCAAAGTCCCATCCAACCTGGTGTAGAATAATTCCAGGGACAGGCATCCACAGCTTCTCTGGGCACCTTGTTCCTATGCCTCACCACCCTCACAGTAAAGCATTTCTTCCTAGTACCTAATCTAAACCTATCCTCTTTCAGTTCAAAGCCATTCCTCCTTGTCTTTTCCCTACATGTTCCTGTGAAAATCCCTCTCCAGCTTTCTTGTAGGCCCCCTTAATGTGTTGGAAGGCTGCTATAATTTGTCCCTGGAGACTTCTCTTGCCCAGGCTGAACAGCCACAACTCTCTACTCTCTCAGCCTGTCTTCATAGGAGAGGTGCTCCTGCCCTGTGATCATCTTCATAGCCCTTCTCTGGACTTGCTCCAGCTGAGAATTACCTAATCTCCCACTTTTGCAGCAGGCAAGAAAATAATTAGGTAAGCAAGGCTATTAGCAGAGGATAGAACTAAACCTCTGAATATAGGACAAGCACCATTCTGCACAAACATGCCCATTGGAATAAGCACAATTAAATATGCAGTTGCACATAATCAAGAGGGGTAGACTACATTTCCAGGCACCTTATATGTTGTAGGTCACAATGCTTGACTTTTCCATGCAAGTTTACCTCAGTGTCCCTTAAAAGGACGAGTCTATCTCACAGTACAGACCTAGAGTTACTTTTTCAATATAGCATGAAGATCTACTCCTCTGGTAAGCTCCTGTTTCTATTAGGACACTTTGGTTCTTTTCCTTCCCTCATGTAACTGATTTTGGTAACACTCATCTAATTTTTCATTAAAAGACACCATCACTCTCCCTGAACTCAGACCATGCTAACAGGTGTTGGTAAAAATGAACAGCGCTCCTGACTGTCTCAAGTAAACTGTATGTATTTGTCATTAGGCAAAACCTTGTGCGTATTGAGATTAAATATCATGATCTGAGCTACAAAATAACCCAGCAGCAGAAGGCCTTGACTATATCTGAGTTGCTTGGTAAGTGAATGTTTAATATTAATTTATTGCTGATCAATAATTTATCTAAAAATAAAAATTTGAAAAAACCTTACCAGACTAAAAAAAACCTGCCTTTTTTATTCTCTCTCTTCCTGAATCAAAGACAATGTAGGCTTCTGAACAAAAATCAATACTTTTAATATTATAATGGTAATAATAATGTCTGTCTCATGGTCATTTTTGATACTGCCTCCTGTCATTCTATTAAAGAACCTGTGGTATGGAGAGCAGCTGAGAGTAAGAATTAAGTTTGACACTAATATATGGCTGTATTACACACAGGAGTGTAAGAATAGTGACATTTACGGGATTTAGAGGGGAGAGGGAGAACATGGGGAGGACAAACAAGGGAACAGTTAAAAAGGCAGAGGAGTAAGAAATATTTCAAGTATCTGTTTCCCAGTAGGATGTCTTGTGTTGTACTTGCTTTATTTAGAATTTTTGAAAACACATCAGTCTTCTTCAGTAAACATTCTTAAGAATATTAATTCTGTTTTCTTAAAGTGATGGATTATGTATATTGAATCTATTTAACACTTGAGCCTGGCAGGTTTTGTTTGCTTGCTAGACTAAACTAAATGCTTTGGATGACACGTGTTTATTTCCTTCTATTACAGCTGATGTAGGTGGCCAGCTTGGATTGTTTTGTGGTGCCAGTATGATTACAATCATAGAACTGCTCGAGTATGTTTTTACTAACTTCTGTTGGATGTGCATCTTTCTTCTATTGAAGGCTCCTGAAATGCCTCAATGGAACAATCCATCCCAGAACCAACCAAAACATAAGGAAAAAAAGAAGGGAATACAAGAATGTTAGTGACTTGTAAAAGTCCAGAACTAACTGGTTTTGCAACTTCCCTTTCTTTTTAAGATCCAAAGGAGACAGTAATATTTTGCACTGCTCCCTTCTCTGCACTCCTTATTCACCCTGCTTCTTTTGTTGTCTAGAACTATTTAACTGTGCTAAATAACTTTTAAGAGAGCACTTTGCAAAGTCTCACTTTCCTTCTCATTTAAAGACAAATGTAATCTTTACCTAAAATTTTATTTTAATAAATTAACATTTTTTTAAAAGCATAGCAAGTGATGCTGACATACAATACAATTTAGCATTCATTTATGACTCAGATTTTATCTTCTGTATTCTGAGTGACAAGAAATAATATACATAATATATTATCACACACAAGTTTCTTGACCACCATGAAGGTGGAGCATTGCTGTGCTGAAAAGTCTTTGTTAGTAGGATCCACTGTAACATGTTCTGATGAAGAATATGGATGCTTTGCCTAGCAGAATTTTGTCCCTAATAACATAAAATCTAAAGTATATTATCTGTTTGTCTGAAACACATCCAAAATTTCTCATGAGTTCGTCAACTACTATGGAGAACCACAGAGCATCTGAGTCGATGACAAGTCAGCAAACATAGGCCACGTTCATTGTTTAATGTCATGAAAGACGATAATAATAAAGACTAAAGGCTTCATCTAAGTCTTACTGAAAATCAGTGAGTGTAAGAATTCTGTGGCTTTGCTGCTGATTCAGGCTTCCTGAAGGTTTATTCCTTTTAAAGTGTTCAGAAAAGCTTCTGTGATTTCGTACATTTGTGTGGGTTTATTGAGCAGTAGTGGTTTAGTCTTACGTTTTTTAAGAAGACTCCAGTGAGTAAATAAAGTAGTAAATGTACCTACTAAACAGCCAGGTCCTTAAGGTGAGATATAAAATAATGAAAATAGTACCATTTGGCCATCATTTGCAACAGCTTCCCTTCAACATATGCCCTAGGATATGCAATTCAGGAAATACAGGAAAAGTTTTGGCTTTCTAGGAAGAGATGCCTTGATTTCTGTCCTCTAACTGCAGGTTTGAGAGACCTTAAGGTTAAAGATTTTTTGCTCTATTCTCTTTTATTGATCACTTCACTTCTGCTGGGTATTGTCCCCCACACTACTACTAAGCACACAAACATTTGGCTCAGCAGCCATACAAAAAAGGTCATTATAACCCCATTGTCCGAGGTGTGCATTGGCCAACAGAGGAAGAATGGAAAGAACAGAGAAAACACACTGCAATATTTCTCTAAAGACCTATCCCAGTCTCAAACTGTGGAATTCTTAAGCCATAAGAAATTATTGGTTTGGAATTAGGAATCAAGTATTATCTGACTTCTGGATAAAAAGAAAAGTAGGGGAAAGTTTAAACATAGTAATCCAGCACACTTTGTGTTTCAGAGATCAAAGTGGTTTGTAGCTATCAATCATAATGATCATTTTTTGTTTTGTTTGCTTCTACTGATAAGGGCTAAATAAAAGAAAATTAGTATTGTAAGGACTAAACAAAGCTGGTATTGTTTCTGTTCAAAAGGTCAAGTGAAATGAAGCACAGAACATGCTAAAAAAACAGCCAAAAAAATAAAAAGACAGTTCTCAGACAAGGAAGGTACTTGCATCTTTGCTTAGTTTAATAAGACTAAAATGACTTTTGCTTACTCCACTGACTTTGGACAAGGACAGTGGAAATCACTGCTTGGTTACAGATTCTTCTAACATATGTGGCAGAAGGAGCTCTGAAGAAAGCACAAAGACTTGTTTTGCCCAAGGTCAAGTGACAGACTTGGGGTTTTTTTCAGCAATGGCTTGTGATAAGATTATATAAAGCAATTGATTCCCCAGTACAGCTAAATTTAGCAAGTGTGCTGTGCAGCAGAGCAGAAGGGTGCTTTTGTTATTTTGATGTATGACTTCTCCTCTATTATGGCAACAGAATTTTAAAAAGTCTTAAGAAAGCGTTTGGCTTTACTGGGTAGGTGACAATGTTATATCTATAAGGAGAGCAGAAAAGACATATTTTAACAGTTTGACCAGATCACATGCCAGTTTAGCCTTACTTTGCTACTTTTCCTTTTCACAAGTGCATGTCCATGCTCCAAGTAAACATATTGGCAAGCTTTTCCCATGGTAATTGTTTGATTCCAAAATGTTAATCCTAACAATGAAATTAGTGACATGATTGGGAAAGCCCAAGGGCTTCTCCCAGGTTCTTGTCTGATGTGCACAAAGAGACACAACAAGAATTTTGGGGAAATAAAAAAAATTAAATGCATTCTGCAGAAGTCTTTGAACTTTATTCAACACTGTAGAGAATCTCATGCTGTTGCACACATTTTCTGAAGAATGGAGGGTGACAATTAATTTATGTGGATAATGGCCTGTGTTTGGGAGCTCTGGATTTTATGACCATAGAGTATTGTTGTGTTCCCTTACGCATCATTTTCATTTCATACCCTTAGGCAGTAGATCAGAGAGTGAAATAGCTCTTGGTACAAGGAAGACAGCCTTTTAAACTGTTAGAAAACTTGCCATGAGAGATTGCAACAGGGAAAGGTTGGAGATAGTTAAAGACATGCATCACACCTTCTGACAAGTTTCTTTAGCTCATTTCCTTTCTTCTTCTAATTGAGATATTTCACAAGGCTAGTATCGCAATGCGTACATACCTCTAAAGGAGTGTCAGAAATTAAGGACTTATTCAAGGAGCATTTTTTCCCAAAGAGCTCAGGAACCAGGCCTGGCACTTGCTTATTTGGTAAGGCAAAATGTACATGGGATTTGGATCAGACTGTCATGCAGTAGATCAATTCGTTGCAGCATCTCACCAGTAGATGCCCCACTTGCCTTAGGCAGCTGTTCACAAGTCTTCTTGTGCACAGAGTTGATATCTCAGACCCTTCTATGGAATTACACGGTATAGCTGAAGATTATTTCCCTCTGGTTAATGATGTATGAGCTGAGGAAAATATTTCAAAGGAGCTGCTGGCAAACCTGATGTTGCTTAGCCTGAAACAAGTGACATCACCTTTGCAGCACACTGTTTAGATTGATTTCTGAGACAGACAAACAAACAAAAGCGTACAGCCATCCCCATTCTGCAACAAAATAAGCTGATCAAAGCATCTCCTAGGGAGCTTATACAAGCCAGCTGATCTAACGTTACTTATAAATGTTGGTTAAAGAAAAGTAAGTATTTCCTTAATCCTCACCAATTCTTGAAGCTGAAACTAAACAGGAAAAAAAAATATTTCCCTATAAAATCACTCAAGCTTGAAGGTTGTTAGCTATGCCTACCCCCTAGCCCAAATACACTGTGTGTGAGTCTGGTGCTGGCAAAATATCAGAAAAGCAATCTTCCTCACCTGAGTGGTACAGCATGGCAGCATGAGACAGCCCCTTAGTTTCTTACAGCTCCTTTCCAGCTAAATGGTTAAAGACTTGTGGTTGCTCTGTATTTTGGAAAACCAAGAATCATCATGCAATTCTAAAAGCTCCCTGACCAAGATGAACCATAATGGTTCACTCTTACTGCCTCTCAAAGCAAAGTACACAGTGTTTCACAAGTGTATATCCCTTAATTATCCTTATTACACTCTAACTGCATCCAGAGTTAAACACATTTTTGTGTTGACAGCTGATTTGCTTATTAAACTCAGGATACAGGAAATATCCCCAAGCTCATATGATATTAATTACTCAGTGCAATGTTGAAACATGACTGGGTTATAAATTATAAATCCTGTATTGATAGGATATTGCTGTAGATCCAGGGTTAGCATCACATCTTGTTCATGTTGCTTTTGACCCTCCTGCACTCGTAACCCTCTTGCACTGTGAAGGCCCTTTATCCACCAGCAGATGCTCACCTCTGCTGACTCCTCACTAGAAGCAGTCATCACAAGAAGAAGGAAAGCTTCTTCAGAGTAGACAAACTACCAAATGGCCCTTCCCACTATGCACACAACTGATGTCCAAAAAGGGGATCCCTAACTATCTCATGTCTCAAGGTGTTGCATTTTGGTGGAGGGGGGTTTTTGGTGTTTTTTTGGTTGGTTGGTTGGTTTTTTTGGTTGAGTTTTTTGGTTTGGTTTGGTTTGGGTTTTTTTTTGTTTCGTTTGGTTTGGTTTTATTTTAACATCTTTTGGGATGTTAAAAAACTGCATTTATAAAACTGTAGGAAGGAGAGAGAGGTCCACACAAGTAGCTATTCTTTCCAGAGTGGAATACTAAAAGCTTTCTATCTCTACAAAAGTGTGTCATTTTGCAACAGGAAGCCTGGTGAAGTGCATATCTAGTTTTTGTTGCTAATTGGGGGATGTTGCTTTCAAAGAAATGACCCTGAGCTCTAGAAAACTTGGTAATGCTTCCAGCACACTTCAGGGTCCTTAACAAAAAGAAGGTTTTAACTCCACATTGTAATTGTTAGTATTTCTGCCTACTTGGTGACACTTTCAAAGCCACTCTCAATCTAGCCAGTCATTTTGAATTAAAGAGATGAACACTAAAGTAAACACAGGCTGTGTCCCTTGTGGGTCTCAATCTGAGCAAAGCATTATATACTTATCTACTACCTATCTAAGACTTGGAAAATAGGTATACAAGGCAGGATTGATGTTTACCTACCTGACAATTGCTGATGTATGCTTCACATAATGTGAATCAGCTGAAGACAAGAATGGGAACGGTTACAAGAAGGAATGCTTTTGTGCAAACCTGTAAAAAGTGTGGGTTTGTCAGGGCTGCACACGTGCCATAGAACATGCAAAAACTGTTCATCAAAAATCAAAATTTGCTTTTGGTGTTATTCAACTCAACCCATATAACTCCCACAACAATGACTAGATTCTTAGTGCAGTTTCCATAACTGACATTCCTAGTATCTTCAGCCAAGCATCTTAATTGCTAAGAATTTTTTGGTTGCTCCTTTTCCTGGGGCAACTGACAGGTCCTTCTGTGCAGTAGATGCAAAGAAAACATATTTACAAGGCCTATTATGAATCCTGGCTAACAGGATTAACTCAGGAATATTTTCCTGTTGGTCAACTAGCCTTCTACGTTTGTAACCCTGAAAGACACCTTCATGTTTCTAGCCTCCCTCTGTATGACTAGTATTACTTGTTACAGACTTGATCCAGAGTTTTGTTTAAATTTTCCAACCTAAAAATGCCAAACACCTTCAGACCATGCCCATGTAAATATACAGTTCACTTATAGATTGTACATACTCTAGTCTGGAAGTGTTATATCACATCTTCATCTTTTCCTGCAGTCTGAATAAATGGAATTTTCTGGGGTTGTTTTAGTCCAAACATCTGAGAAATGTATGAATAAAAATGGCAAACAATGCCCCATATGAAACAAACCAGATATGAGAAAAAAAATTTGACTGGAGAAACATCACAAAATGTCTGTTTTAAGACAAATTGTAAGAAGCTGTTCACTGTTGAAGCATGAAAATCAAACAAACAGTAGCAAGAAGGAGGAAAAAAAAGAAAAAAGGTAATACTGTTACTAAGAGGTTTACATTTCCTCAGGGAAATGAAGTCACATTGTGCAGTATGGCACCATATTTTAGAGAATTCATTCATCCTGAAGAGTAATTTGCTAGCTGCTCTTTATTTTCTATTATCCCAGTTCAGACAAGGACTCGCCTGTGTGGAGTACCTCACAAAACACAGACCCTGTTCCAAAGGTATTTCAGCTTTAGGCATCTGTCTCCTTCCTCAATTCAAAGCACCTTAGTGTTTGGGATGATGCTTTACTTGGTCAGATAAGAAAGTGTGGTTTGGTAGGCAACGGCTATTATCTTTTCTCTCATTCTTACTACTTGCTCAGAAACATTAGATGTCTTAACATAAAACAAATGGCCTAAATAGGGAGCAGACAACAGCAACAGCATTGTCATAGCAATGGGCATGACCCTTCCTGAGTCTCCCTTGTGAAGGGAAATGTTATGCACCTGAAGAAGAGATGAGCAGCAACGGTTTCAAATTAGGTTGAACAGCCAAGATTTCTACCACCCAGTTGTTTTGATGACATCTTTGAGTCTGCTCCAGCAAATATTCGCCCACATAAGCTCCGCTGGTGACACTAGCAAATACTGCATTATGACATTTACATCTAAATTTGGAGACAATCTATTCATTCTTTATTGCTGATACACAACTGAATTCTCACTAGTTAGCACTGACAGATTCTGCAGATACCATGGGAGGCTTTCAGTACAATAAGCCAATAAGAAACTTCTGGCAGAAAACTCTGTCTGGAAATCAAGAACACCATAAGCAAATTAGTATTATTCAATTCTGAAGATACATCTAAGAGAGGAAACAACCTCTTTGTGGAAGAGGGAGGGGTAGTTTCCAACTGAAGAAGAGAATAGTTCTCATGATGTTACAGTTCATACCTCTGAGGAAAATCAGAAGGACTGAGGATCCAAACAGTTCCAAACAGGGAAACACTAGACTTTTGCTTTCTTCTTTCTTCTTCTTTGCTTCTGTGTCTTTTACAACACCAAACTTCTTCCAAAGGCAGAAACTCCTACTGAATTTGCATTCAGCAATGGAATTCAACTCCATTAATTAACTTACACGAAATACTCATT